TGCACCAATACTATAAGCAATAAGCGGTATCTAGCAACACATTATTGCCCCCAGATTATAAGTTAAGACGTTTGCACCGTCAAAACCTTTCCACGACTCAGACTCCGTGTAACTGTATCCTTTTGTCTCAATGTCTAAACTTAATGCAAGGGATTAAAAAAATCCAGCTTGTATCCATTAAGTCATTCACTGATTTATCAAGTCTGACTAATAGGAACAGACGTCATAAAAGCATCTCAGCATGGCCATGCAGTTTCCTCAGTCATGACTTATCAGTGGGCCCCATAAGACATTAATCTCTTTAAAAAATAGTGACAAATCCTATGTACGTAATCTACGTTTCTGAATACGCGCTGCGGCATACCCAAAACAAATCCTGTATACCATCCTTATTTCATATGGCTTAGGACAATGCATCAAAGTATGCGGGTTCACGTATGCAGAAGACGTAATACTTCAAGTCGAAGGATAGTTACACCCGTGGTCGCGCTAAAGATGCTTAGAGCATGAACTAAAAGTTCAAGCAACATCTTTAGGATGGGTCAGTCCGGCATCCTATTATCTCTAGATAATATCTGCCCATGTGCGGATGCGAACACACCGTCATTGACTATGAGACTAAGTCAAACATCCAACACACACTAGTCTCACATGCATTAACGATATCCCACTCTCGTTAATACTCGACTATGGACATTTAGATAAATATTTATTTCAAGATGTTAGTCTCATCAGCAGAAAAACACTATCTGATAAACATCTTTTAAATATAAATCTAGGAATATAATATTTGTTTACATTAGCATGAGATGTGTAAACATATTATATCTGCCTATACATGATAGAATAACGATAAACAGTTGGCCATTAGGGCACAACTCCAACAGAGGGCTCATGGGGAAACTCCATTCTCCCTAACCTATGGGTGTGAAGCAAGACTGCCCATCGAAGCTGAGTTCCCCACGTTTCGGGAGTCAAATTATCAACCCCAGCAGAATGAGGAAGATCACTTGGCCGAACTCAACTTGGTCGAAGAGCGGAGAATTGCCACGGAAGTTAAAATGAGTACATACCAACAAGTTGTGAAGAAGTACCATGACAACAAGGTTGGGCCGCGGTACTTCCAAGTTGGGGATGAAGTCCTACGAAGAAGAGAAGCAAGTAGACCCGGCGATGGAGGAAAGCTGGCAAAAAACTGGGAAGGCCCATACAGGGTTAGAGCCATCATTCGACCAGGAACGTATCGGTTAGAAACTTTAGATGGTGTACCGGTAGAAAGAACTTGGAATTCCCACCATCTTCGCAAGTTCTACAAATGATTGTAATACTAGGCGAGGCCTAACTACATTATCAATCAAAGTGATGTTCAATACTCTACTTGGTAGCGGCAGAATGGATAGGTCGAACCTATCCTAGGAGGGCTTCCTGGGTGGATCGAGTCCACTTGGATAAGCCAACTGAGACACAGGCCCGGACCTGGCACGCTGGTTACTACACCGGTCTTGCTCAGTATAATAGAAAAAATATTAAAACCCGGAAGAGGGGCCCGGAAGAGGGTATGCCTGCAAGAGGGATGGACCTGGAAGAAGATTCGAACCGTACTTACACGGGCCCATGAGGTTTGACTGGTGTCGGGGAATCAGCCGGCGCCGTCAAATTGATTGGGGACTAAAAGATGCCCATTAAAAGAAATAGAAGGGGATCGTCCACCGTGGCGCATCCTGTTTCCCCCTTCTCAGGGAAGACTTGAACGGGAGGGTGAGCTAAGGCCTTCCCGGGATGGTAGAAATCAAAGGGCCATCAAAAGACTTAATCACCCAGAAGAGGGAGACCTGGAAGAAGGGTGCATTTGAACCTTGGAGAGGGTTCGAAACCATTCGACATGGTTAAATCTCCAGTATTCTTACCGGTTAAGGATACTTCAAGAATTACTAGGTTACGGGTGTTTCCATCTACAACCTACCGGTAAAAAAAAAAAAAGAATACCCCGGTCGGGTATGGGCACAAGGCAAGGCAGATGACCGGTCAAACCATGGAGTGGGAATTCACCGGTCAAAGTAAACTTTACCAAAAGAATTTGTGAAGCTATCCAAAAAGCAAAAGTAAAGTTCGGCCGGTCAAACTTTTTAAGTTGGCCAAAATGATGAAGACGTTCGAAAAGCAAAAATTGAAGTTTAACCGGTCAAAGTTACTCGAGTTAATTCTTCAGATAAAGTGATCAAAGAGAACTTTGAAGTTCTCCCGGTCAGAAACAATTGAGAAGTGGTCTGATTGGGCTACCGGTCAGAATTTATAAGTAGCAAGAGAAAAGTATAAATCAACAAGCAAGCAGATATGGAAGATTCACCGGTAAGGAAATTAAACATGGCATTTAAACGAAACAAACATGGCATTTAAATTTGGAAATGTCAAATGTTTACATATACGCCGGGCATGCCCGGGGAAATTTTTGCTAAGTTTTACAAGAATAACCGGGCGCAGCCGGGGAGATTAGTCAAGGGGGAAGGGGGGAGTCGGCTCTTCTTCCGGGATTGAGGCTAGGCCGTAGGATGCAGCGGTGAAGTCCGGATCTCTTCTGAGCAGTACCTGGTGAGAGGCGATCCGGTCCTTCTTTTGCCCGCTCTTGAATCCGAAGGATCCAATCGCGGTAATCATCTTCCTTCCTTCAGGCTCCCGGTATAGAAGCCTGAAGGACTCCATCGTGGTCTCGGGAGTCGCCGTCATCACCCGGGTAGCTTCAGCTTTGTTCTCTTCCACCCAGGCAGCTGCACGCCCGGGGAAGGTTTCTTCCTTCTCCGCCATCTCCCTCTTGGCTTCAAACACCTCGCCCATCAGCCGGTCATTCTCTTCCTTGAGGTGAGAGATCTCCGCCCTCATCGACCCGGTCAGCCCGGATAGCCTGGTCAGCTCATCAGCTTGGCTCTTCAGGATGAGAGCCATCTCCTCCTTCTCCTTCTTCAGCCGGGCAAACTCCGAAGAAGAGCCCAAACCAAGCCGGTCAGCTGAGAGGGGTCCGATCTCCCCCGCCTGTGCAAAAGGAAAAATAGACCGGTAAGATTCACGTCGAGGGAATAAGAAGGTCAAGACCGGGGAAGCAACAGGACTTACCTCCTTCAGCCTCAGCCCCAGATTAATGAAGGCCTCTTCAATGGTCTGGCCGGCCGGCTCAGGATCCGACCTTGCCCTCTTCTTGGCGTAAGAAGGGTGCGTGGTGGCCACCTTCTTCATCCGACGACCGGGCTTTTCCTTTTCCTTCCCCTTAGACCGGTTGTCTTGGGGCTCGTCCTCATCTAGAATCTCCACGGTCTCTTGGTGGACCGGGAAGGTTCTGCCGGGGTTGGCTTGGGATCCCCCGGTATCTCCCGCTGGTTGGTCGTCGGGGATGGCGAACTCTTCGAACTCCATATCTGCAAAAGAAATTAAAACCGTTAAGTACAAGTAGTTTGACCGGTCAACTACGAATCACAGGAAAAGTGAAAAGTATCTGGGTGGTTCTGGCCCTCAGCCTCTGCAGTGTTGCCCAGGGAGGGTACCCCGCTCCCCGCTGCTTCATGGGCCGGGGAGGTACCCTCACCACCCGACTCCACCCTCCAAACCCAGCTGCCATAATGGAAGATCCTCCCAGTGAAAGGATCCCCGCGCATAAGGACCTCAAGATTCGCTTCCAAGTCTGGGGAGGAAGCCGGTGCAGCATACTCTTGGTCGAGGAGATGGTCGTTCCATTTCAGACCGGCCAGAGGAGTGACGAAGGGGGGAAACTCGATGAAAACAAACTTTTCCTTCCATCCCCGGTTACTCTGGGGGACTTCGGAAATGAACTTCCTACCGGTACGGGCAGCCAGATCCGCCCGGTAGGACTTCAAAGCAAAAGAGAAAAAGACGCAAAGAGGGGAAGATTTTCAAATGAGTACAGATATTTACAAAGGAATGGAGATACCGGTGGGCGTTAGGTGTTATTTGACCGGGAAAAATCCTAAACGCGTGGCATACTTCGGTTAGGAAGGGGCGAAGGGGAAAAACTATGCCCGCATCCAGTGATATGGTATGGAACCCTATCCTATCCTCCCGGTGGGGTTCGACAATGTTGGGCCAATTGGGTTCATACAGGAGGGTATATCCATCCGGGAGCCTCCTACGAATTTTATTCAGAGCGATTTTGGATACACGGGAAGGGATGTCAAGGACGTAGAAGGTGGGGAGCGGAAAGTAACCGGCAGCATGAAGCCGCTCCTCCCACGCATCCCGGGTTTCGTGTTCAGGGTCATAGGGACCCGGTTCGTCATCGACCGAGTCATCCCTCCCCACGAAAGTTTCACCGGGCATCTGGTTAACAGGATGCGGGTCGGGAATAGAATAGTTGGGAACCTGACCGGGCGTGGATTCAGGAGAAGAAGACCCGGTCAAGGAAGATGAGTCTCCTCTGAGGACGAGATCCTATCGCTAAACGAAGACATGGCCGGGAAAGAAGAAAGAGAAGGAAGGGGAAACTTACTTCACTCGGAGGGCTGGATAGCAAAGAGAAGGAACTTGACCGGTTAAAGCTCTGAGACTTGATCGCGGAAAGTGAACAAAGAAAAGGGGTGAAGGCCTTTATATAGGGAGAGAAGGGCTGAAAGGAGCGACGTGGCCCCTTCAGGTTGCGCCGCGTCAGGCGGCACAATGATGACCCACTGGCAGGCGAAACGACGGGTCTGCAGCCGACTGATTGCAACAGTTGATGCGCGACACGTGGCAAATATCAGAGTTTGAAATTCAAATTTCAAAAATTTTAGGCGGGAAGAGCCAAAATCTCAAAATTGGAGTCCTATTTCAGACTTTTTACTTCCCGCTCATGACAAATTGCATGACCGAGAAGTGGAGGGCTTATTGATGGGTGTATTCCACCCACGACCGGTCAAAGGAGAAGACCAATTAGTTGACCGGTCAATCTCGAAAGTTTTGAAGGGAGACTTAAATCGTCAGCAAAACGATATATAATCGGCCAAAAGATGACCGGTATACTTCACGAAAAAGTATACCGGTCAAACTACGTTGTCATGTTATTTGTTCCCAGACTTCGATGAATTCATCCCTCGGAGATTACCCGGTGTAGTTTCTAGAGTTGGAAAGTGTCGGCAGAAGAGAATCTACGAGGGCTTGGCGTGTAGCGACCCATGTCAGTAGAGGACAACTAGAGATGCTGAAGAATCCATCCAAGGCACTACTCGACAAAGGGAATAATCCCCCTCACAAGGCGACAAGGCAGCTCAAGGACGAAACCAGTCACCTCGCACCACATCAGCATTGAGCCCCCACGTCCTTTTATACAATTTTCCATCAAGAACCTGGAATCGGGGCGCCCTGAGCTTCACTTTTCTTGCCCGGTCATCTTGTTCTGGCAAGCTCCCATCCATCAAATATTCCATCAGATCATACATCCAATGATCGTCCGCCCCGACCAGGTTTGACCGGTCAAAATGGCTTCCGGCCGTTATAGCAGCGACTTCCAATTTTTCGATGCTTGCACGGTCAAGGATCTCTACCCGGGCAAGTTTTGAAACATGCTCGGGAGCATACTACGTCAATTTGGAGAGAAGGTCTGCATCCGCGTTATCTGCCCGGGGAATTTGGGCGATCTTGAACTCTTCGAAGCCTTTCAACAGGGCAAGTACAAGGTCCTTATATTGTGCCATGCGTCCTTCCCTTGCTTCCATGTTTCCGGTCACTTGCCCAACAATCAGGCTAGAGTAAGATTTGATATTGACCCGGCTGATTTTCAGGGCTTGGGCAAGTCTGAGCCCTCCAGCCAGAGCTTCATACTCTGCCTCATTGTTCGTTAGCTTGAAGTTGAAGACGATTGCATGGTAGATCTTGAACCCTTCTGGGTGGTGAACACGATACCACCCCCGTATCCTCTAGGACCGGATGCCCCATCAACTGCCATCTCCCACCATTGCTCAATGGGCTTGTTGACCGGTAGGTCTGGAGTTAGACCGGTCATTTCTACCAAGAAGTCAGCAAGGGCTTGTCCCTTGATTGCTGACCTTGGCCGGTATTCAATGTTGAATTGAGTTAACATCATCGCCCACTTCACCATCCTCCCGGAAGATGTTGAATTTCGCAACACTGCACCCAGCGGTTGGTCAGTCAAGACTTCTACCGGGTGAGCTTGGAAGTAGGATGTTAATTTTTTTGCGGAGATGAAAAGCGCATAGGCTGTCTTTTCCGTCGCCGTATATCTACTCTCAGCTCCGTTTAATGCTTTGCTCACATAATAAATGGGCTTTTGTGCCCCATCATCTCTTATTAAAATGGAGCTTACAGCATTTGGGGAAATTCCCAGGTACAGATACAGAGTTTCACCCGGTTCGGGTTTAGACAATACAATATCCGACGCTAGGTACTCTTTCAGCTCCTCGAATGCCCTCCGGCATTCTTTGTCCCATGCAAATGTGTTGGCCTTCTTCAGAACTTTGAAGAAGGGCAGGGATCTCTCAGCTGAGCGGGAAAGGAATCGGCTGAGGGCCGCCAAACGACCGGTCAACTTTTGAACATCCCTAACGGAGGTAGGGGCTCGCATTTCAGTGATGGCCCGGATTTTCTCTGGGTTGGGCTCTATTCCTCTCTTGGTTACCATGAATCCCAAGAACTTCCCGGTACGAACCGCGAAGACGCATTTCTTAGGATTCAGCCGGAGGTTGTATTTTGCCATGATATCGAACGTGGCTCGCATATCAGCCGGATGGTTGTGAGATACCTGGCTTTTGATCAGCATGTCGTCGACGTATGCTTCCATGGTCTTTCCCAGTAGTGGCTTGAAGAGTTTGTTGTGGTACGCGACCATCCAACGGGGGCTCAAGAAGTTCGGTTTGCGGTAATGGGCCATCGTCATCCAAGGAAGCCCACACTCCTTACTGCAGAAGAGAAGTAGAAGGAACCGGTACATCTAAACCACCATTGGGAACTTCCGTAGGTACTAACTTAGGAGTTCGCACCCCGCAGTTTCGTCCACCATTTGATCTGGACTGCGAAGTGGGTATGAATCCATCGGACAAGCCTTGTTCAAGTTCGTATAATCCACACACATTCTCCACGTGTCGCCCTTAGGAGCAAGGACAGCGTTGGCCAATGTATCCGGGTATTTGACTTCCCGGATGTGACCAACACTGAGGAGGTCCTTCACTTCCTTCTTGACGAAGTCTCGCCGGTCACTGGCCAGGTACCGCTTCTTCTGACGTACCGGTCGACTTCCTTCCCTCATGGCCAACCGGTGGCAGATAATAGAGCGATCTATTCCGGGCATATCCGCCACGCTCCATGCGAATATGCCCGCGTATTCTTGGAGGACCCGTGTAATCTGTGCCTTGAGATCCTCGGGGAGATTTGCTCCAATTTTGACCATCCTCGAAGAATCACCCGGGTGAAGTTCGATTTCCACCGTCACGGCCTCGGGCTCCAATTTCTCCCGGGTCTCTCCCTTTGTGATTTCTTGGGAGATGACATTGACCCTCTTGGTCATCTTCTTGACTGCCCGGGCATAGCAATCCCGGGCGTTCCTCTGGTCGCCCTTCACCTCACCCACACCACCTGGAGTGTGGAACTTCATGCATAGATGAGGCATGGAAATCACCGCCCCGACTCTATTGATGCCTGGCCTTCCAAGAATTGCGTTGTGAACGCATTTGATATCCACAACTATGAACCGCATCTTCTTCCACACGGTCTTTTCACCTGATCCTAGTTCGACCGGTAGAACTATGGATCCTTCAGCTTCAACGGTGTCCCCCGTGAAGCCTGAGAGGGGTTCTGAGGGGTTCAAGTTGTGTCCGACACAACCTGAGTTTTTGGAAAGTCTCCAAGTACAAGATGTTGACGCTGCTCCCGGTGTCAACAAGTACCCGGGCGACATCCACCCCATTAATGTCCATGGTGATGACCAATGGATCATTGTGATCTTCACCGGTAGGAGGGAGATCTCGGTCAGTAAAGACGATCGGCTCCCTTCTAGTATGCTTACGCTTGGGCGGTTCAGCACTTACCTCTCCAACGTAAATGCTCCGGACCCAGTTCTTCCGCTGCGCGGCTGAGTCTCCGCCCTCGGGTCCGCCGAAGATCATGCCGATGTGCCCTTTTTCGGGGGCAGGTTGCCGCTCCCTTGGCCGGTTATTCCTCCGCCGGTCGTTGTCCTGATCATCTCCTGGGGCAGTTGGCCTAACCCATTGATGACTCTTCTCCTGGGCTTTCTGCAAGTAATCTTTGCCCAGCTCTCCACTGTCGATCATCTGCCGGATGACCCCCTTAACACTTTTGCATTCGGAGGTGTTATGAGAATCCGTCCTGTGGTACGAACAATAGGTGCCCGACCACTGCCGCCCTATTTGACCGGTAGGGTTCTCCGGAAGAATGACCGGTGCTTTCCGGACTTCTTGGCATTCTTCCGTATTGACCACTCGGATGACCGGGTCATAGTGGTGTCTCGGCCGGCTAGGTCCCGGTGCTTCTTCCTTCTTGACTTGAACCGGTTTGGGCTTGTAACCATGCTCGGCTTCATTCTTCGCCCGGAGTTGAGTTTCAGCCTCAGCAAACTCCCATGCAGTATGGTAGGCCTCTTGGTACGTGGCTGGGGGTTTCCGACAGAACTCCTTGTATAGTTCCCCGGCGCGCAAGCCATTCAAGAGGAGGGATAAGATGGTTTTGTCATCCATCTCTTCCACCTTGTCTACCTCTTCCTTCCACCGGGTAAGGAACTGAGTAAGGTTCTCAGACTCCCTCTGCCCGGCTGTACTAAGATAGGTGAATTTCTTCCTCTTAGTACAATTCTCTTGGAATTTGGCCTTGAATTTTGAGGCCAAATCACTGAATGAATCAATGCTTCCCGGGCGAAGCTTATTGAACCATTCAGTGGCTCGGTTCCGCAAGGTCTGGAAGAAAAGAAGGCACTTTTCTTCATCGGTGCAACCGTTCATGGTCGCACTCTGGTTGAAGGAGTCCAAATGGATTTTCGGATCTTCCTTCCCAGTGAATCTGGGGGCGTCGATCTTGACCTTTCGCGGGAAAGGTGTCAGATGGACCCTTGTGGTGAACGGGGACCATGCCAAGGGTTTGTCCTGGTCATTCTTCCCTTCGACCTTCTTTTCCAGCCTCTCTAGTTTTGCCTCCATCTGCTGGACGCGGTCATTTGGGATGGTCAACCGGTTCGCCACCGGTAACCTGGGCTGGCTCTCTGCTTCCTCTTCCTGACGAGAGGCCCTCGTCCTTGCTGGCTCCTGCCGGTTAGACCAGGAGCGTCGGGTGTGGGCAGGCTCGGCCTCCCGCACCTCGCCTAGCCGGGCGAACGCGCTGACATGGGCAACGCTCTGCCCCAGCCTTTGCTTGGCTGACTTCCTCTGGCCTTCCTCCCTATCCCCTAGCCTTTCGAAGGCGGAGTTTCGGGAGGTCGCTGGTCGGATGTTTTTTCCTTTCTTCTTCTTGTGAGCCCTCGGGATGTCCCACTCGCCGTCATTGCTCTCAATTGAGACGCAATGATCATCAGGAGTGATCTGCGGATTCGTAGCTTGCGGGGGACGCGACGGCCCTGCAGCGTTTAGTGCGTCGGCCAAGTTGACAGGGGCCATGGTGCTAACCAGTTGGGGCTGGAAGGGTGATGGCTGCGGCACCGGCGTCTAGAACGACGCCACCGCCATCGGAGCTTGTAAGGGCATGGTTCCCGCGCCTGGAAGAGCGAACGGAAACATACCAGGGAGAAAAGGCATCCCCCCATTCTGTTGGCACATGGCCATGACCTGGCCAAAGCCCTGGATGGCTTGTAGGTTGGCTGGGTCATTCATGAACTGAGTCATGCTTGGAGGGAATGTGACCCTCGGTCCAGCGGAAGGGACGGGGGTCGCGAAGGGACTGATCACGATGGCCGTCGGGACAGAGCTCAGACCCAAAGGCAACACCGGGGCTGAAATGACCGGTACGGGAGCAGCCACAGGGATGCTGGTACCCTCGTTGGCGTCCTGCACCTGAGCGGAAGTAGCGTTGATTTGTTGGCTGGAAGACATTTCGAGTGGTGTTTTGGTGGGTAGGTTTGTGTTTAGGAGAAGAAACCTTAACAGTCCCACGGGTGGCGCCAAAAATGATGGTGTAAATTACTTGACCGGTCAAACTATACTAGACCGGGTCTAGAATAGTTCGCTTGATTTGGCAAAGTAAGAAAGGCAAAAACTCGTAGATTGACCGGTAGGACTTTAGGTGGAACACCTGCAGCCCAATTTATATTATAACGGAGAATGCACGGGTGCTTTTACAAGGGAGTTTAGAGAGAATCAATTTGGATCCCTCTTTCTGAGGTTTACATGAGTATTTATACTAGGCTAAGGGGACAGGACTACGTGCACCCAGGTGGGGGCTCGATGCTGATGTGGTGCGAGGTGACTGGTTTCGTTCTTGAGCTGCCTTGTCGCCTTGTGAGGGGGATTATTCCCTTTGTCGAGTAGTGCCTTGGATGAATTCTTCAGCATCTCCAGTTGTCCTCTACTGACATGGGTCGCTACACGCCAAGCCCTTGTAGATTCTCTTCTGCCGACACTTTCCAACCCTAGAAACTAAACCGGGTAATCTCCGAGGGATGAATTCATCGAAGTCTGGGAACAAATAACATGACAACGTAGTTTGACCGGTATACTTTTTCGTGAAGTATACCGGTCATCTTTTGGCCGATTATATATCGTTTTGATGACGATTTAAGTGGTAAATATATTATTGTATATTTAATATATTTATATATGGTAGTTTCCTTTGTATAGGATTTCCTTGTTTGTATTCTACCATAGTTAGGAGCCCGATAACTTTGTATATATACGGGGCTTGACTCCACAAGATGAATATAGAAAACAATTATTCTTCATGGTATCGGAGCCTCTTTCCTAAACCCTAAATTTTTTCGTGCGCAGCTCTCCGTCGCACCAAACCCTAGCGCCGCCTGCCTTCTCCAGCGCCGGCGTCTCTCTCGTCTCCCAGCAGCGCCACCACCAGTCATCTCTCCAGTCTCTGCAGCGGCGTTCTTCTCCAAAGCACCAGCCGCCATCATGTCCGAGAAGGCAGCCACCCCCGACAAGCCCACCTCCTCCGTCTCTACTCCTCACTTGGCATTCACCACCATCTCCAGTGTGAAGCTTCACGTTCCAATCCTGTTGAGCTTTACGGAACCGAACTACAAAAAGTGGAGCCGTCTTTTTCTCCTATTGGTTCGTCGCTTCTCCCTTGGGGACTTCCTCACCGAGAAATCAGTCCCGTCTAGTGCCGACGACACCGATTGGCATCAACTTGATGCACTTCTCCAAGGGTGGATCCTTTCTACGATCAACGACGAAGTCTCCGATCTCGTGATCTCCTCCACCAACTCGGCCGCGGAACTTTGGCAATCCATTCACTCTCTTTTCCATGACAACAAACCCGCCCGAGCCATGCAGTTGGAACATCAATTCCGGACGACGAGGAAAGGCTCTCTGTCCATCTCGGTCTATTGTCAAACCCTCAAGAATATCGCCGATTGGTTGGACGACGTAGATGCCCCCGTCTCGGAACAACAACTGGTGTTACAAGTCCTTCGGGGGCTGCCGGATGACATGCGGGGTCAGACGTCCTTCTTGCAGTTTCAAACACCGCCTCCGATGTTCCTTCAGACCCGATCAGCCCTCCTCCTCTTGGAGCGTCAAAAATCAGAATTGGAGGACGACTCCTCCACTGGCACGGCTCTTCTCTCGTCCGGCAGCCCTGGCGCCCCCTATCACAGCCTCGCTGGCGGAGGCCGCGGGCATCACAGCAGCAGCAGCAGCGGCCAGGGACAGCAGCACCATAGCGGCGGCGGCGGCCGTGGCCGTGGCGGTTACCCCTCACCCTCCTCTTACTCACCCGTACACCCCCCACACACACCACATACTCATCCGTCAACACCTCCTCCCCCCACACCCACCGCCCTTGCCCACAATTTTGATACCCTCAGCCTCCGTGACCCTACATGGTATATGGACACGGGCGCATCCCATCACATAGCCTCCGACACAGGTACACTTTCTCATGTTCGTTCTCATTCTTTAAATTCATCTTCATACATC